CCGATATATTGGTCCATATCGTATCAGCACTGATAAAAGGAAAATTGACGTTATCGGCAATTGGGGTTTTTTCGCTGATGTGACCGAAAGGTCACTAATAAACGTTGTGTGCATGCATGCAGCCGCAAGACGAACGTGGCCAGGAACGCAGCCCAGAAGCCTGGAGATCAATGTCTGGCTGGTAAGTCGGTGGAGGGAAAGTGGCGAGGTGGAGGGAATGGTCATGTGGTGGGGGAGCAGATCAAGGCCTCCATGGTGAGGTGGGGAGTGGGGCTGGGGCAGGGGCAGGCACTGCCCAGCATGGGCAGGACATGGCATGAAGCTGCAGAAAGCTAGTCCACAGGGTGCAGCTCCCACCACTGCACCCCCCCCGGGGGGAGGCATGGGAGCACATGCCCCCTGGATTTGTGCATGGGGCAAGGGCAGGCTGCCTACCGCAGGCTGAGGCCAGGGGCTGTGCCAGGCAAATCCTGTTGGGGATGCTGGGCCAGAGCTGTGCTTGGATGTGGGGCAGGCAGTGGCAATGCTGGGGTTGGGGGGGGGGGCTACAAGGAATTCTGGGGTGACCATAGTCCACACCATAGCACCACCCTCCCAGTGCCACTGTCCGCCCCAAGCATAGCCCCCAGCCCAGCAACCTTGCTGGGACGAGGTCAGTGCAGCCCCCAGCCCATGGTATACAGCCTGCCCTCACCCCATGAAAAAACCCAGTGGACACATGCCCCCTATGCCTCCCCTGGGGGTGCACACATCAGCAGGAGCCACCCCCTTTCCCCAAGGACAAGCCATCCACAGCTCCATCCCACACCCTGTCCTGCCCTGGCTGGGCAGTGCCTGCTCCAGCTCCATTCCCTCTCTCACCATGGGGGCCTTGATCTGCCACTCCATGCCCCTTCCCCACCACAGCCTTACTGGCCAGACACTACTCTCCAAGCTGCAAGGCTGCATATCAGCACTTGGATCAGTATCAGTTGATATGGCTGGTTAATAACCGGCCATCGGTATCAGCCAAAAAAATCTTTATTGGTGCACCCCTAGTACTGGAGGTTGGCTGGAGCCAGGGTTAGGGTTTTGACTGGGTTGTGCCAATCCTCCTGCTGCAACAAACTCAGAGGTTCCTAGCTAGTGGATACAAACTCTGACTGATGGCCAATTCTGGAGTCTGGAAAGCATTTTACTCCATGGACAGATGGGGGGGGGGGACGACACACAGGTTCCCTTGCTCTGTAGCAGGGGACTTATGCTGCTACAAAAGTTGTTACAACATGCTTGAGAGATCCAAGCACTAACACTGGCCACTGTGGTTCCCCACCTTAACCTGTGGCAAATTAAGCTGTTATGTCTTGTGGTTGTGGTTGACTCTGTAGTTCTGCTAACCTACGTTAGACAACAGATTCATATAGGATGATTTGGCTAGGGTTGATCCTGCCTCAGGCAGGGGCTTGGACTAGATGACCTCTGGAGGTCCTGTATAGCCCTACTATTCTATGATCACCATACTACTTAATAGTGAACAGAGATTATTTATTTACATATCTGGAAGTGAAAAGTTCAGAAAAATAAAGGTCTGACATCTGACCAAAGAAAAGTACTAGTGCATAATCTTTTAAATATTTTTAAAAGACATACGCTGTTAGCAAATACTATCCTGTTTAAAACACATTTCTAAATAAGATACGACAGATCTTAACAAGAGAAAAGGAAAGCCAAAAAGATAAAACAAGTTATTACTGAAAAGTCTGCCATGTCAGACAACTGAGATTAGCCAAAAGGTGACAGTCCTGATTCCATTATGGTCACTGGATCAGAGAGAAAACAGGGGGGAAGGAACCTCTGGAGTTCATCAAGTCTGACTTGCTGCTCAAGGTAGGATCATCTCCACCTAAACCATCATCCTCCCAGCATACATCTACCTGCTTTTATACGTCCAAAGACAGAAATTCCATAACCTCTCCCAGTAATCTGTTCCAGGGTTTAACACACCTTCATGGTTTGAAAAAAAAGTATCTAATATCTAATCTAAATTCCTTCACTGCAATTTAAGACCATTACTCCTTGTCCTGTCTCTTGTGGCCACAAAGAATAATTTATCACCGTCCTCTTTATAACAATCTTTTTGTATTTGAAGATTTATCAGTCTTCGGTCTTCTCTTTTTCAGACCAAATAATCCTAGTTCTTCCTGCCTTTTCTCATAAACTATGTTTCATAAATCATTTGCTTTTCCCCTCACTGGACTCACCAATTTGTCTGCATTTTTCTTAGAGAAGTGCCTAAAAGTGGACACTGTACTCCAGATGAGGCCTCACCAGTGCTGCATATAGTAAAAGAATCACTTCCCTCAACTTGCAGACAACACTCCTGTTAACACAAGCCAGTATGCTAGTGGCTCTTTTACAACAAGAGCACAGTTTTGACTCATTCAGCTTACCATCCATTCTAACCCCTATATAAATTTGAAAGATTGAGGAGATAGTTTTCCTATTCTTTTTCAAGGTCCTTCCACAGGTTCCTTCCTGGAACTAGTACCCACACAGTTTGCATCACTGTGGTATTCAAGCACCTCAATACCCTTTCGAAGTGCATTACACAGGAAGTTAATGATGACGCAGGTCTCCCAACAGCAAGTG